AAAAAATTTTTTTATCAACTGTGATTGGCTAATAATCATGTGACATTAAATTTGATTGGTTGGGAAGATTTTGGAAGCGATCTGCGTTTTGTGTAACCTTGACGGTCGCTCCTGTTGCGTCGACGTCAGTGTCACGTGGCGTACGATCTTCATTTCCGACCCGGGTTTGTCACGTTAGCTTCAGCATCAGCCAACTTCAGCATCAGCCGTGACAATTATTAATATTATCATCATCGTGATCACCATAATTATGATAACCATTATTGTTATTTTCATTATTATTATTATTACTATTATCATTAACCCGTTTTCTATTCCAGCGAGGCACCGCTCTTCTTTTTTGTCGAATAGGACCACCAACAACGACGCTAAAATTATTATCATTGTCATTATCACTGTCATCGTCATCATCACCATTATCATCAACACTATTATCGTAATAATCGCCGTTGTTATCATTACCACCATTATTTGTGTTGTTGTCATCATTAGAAACTGTACCATTATCAATTGCGGAGGACGATTGCATAGCAGTCGAATTTTCATCAATTGCAGAGGACGATTGCATAGCAATCAAATCTTCTTCTTCTTCAATTGCAGAGGACGATTGCGTAATCAAATCTTCATCTAAATTTGAACTATCTTTGGGGTGTATTTTCCGTTTATTCAAAATTCTGGTAAGCTCATCTTCTTTCATTTTTATCTCATCATTTATTTCGAAAGATCATGAAGAATACGTTCTTTTTCTACTTTACACTCTACAATATCTCGTCTCTAATTCCAGAAGAATAATTAGAATAAGTTTAAAGCTAATATATAAATACAAAATAAATGGTTTACTTACTAATTTACACTCATTAACTACATCGTTCCAATAATCTTCGAAATTATAACGTTTTCGATCTTCACTGACCTATTATAAGAAAAGCATTTATTATGTTAACAGTGTGTAATTTTTTATTTAGTGATGAGGGCATGCCAAAAATCAAATGATTTATAGTATTGATTTATAGTATAGAGCGAGAGGGAGCGAGAGAAAGCGAGAGAGAGCGAGAGAGTGTGTGAGAGAGAAAGACCGAGAAATCAGATGATAAAAGGCATGCCCAAAGGAAGACACATCGATTTCTCCTCCGGAATCAGCAGACCTTTACCAACGACAAAGTTAGGCGCCAGAATAGAGAACTTGGGGCTGGTTACCCAAGTTGTCATACCCGGTAATTCTCCTGAGTCAGACCAGCGATCTACTAGGAGTTACCCAACTTTGCAAAATAAAAAAGAACACACCTGTTTTTCAATGTTATTAAAGTCATTTTGGTTGAATCGTTCTTTTACTTCGGCTAGAAAATGATCGCACCAAGACTTGTCAAGGTCCCGCCCAAGGGAAGTAGCTGAAGTGGTAGTGACAATTGTGTCTCGACAACGGTGTAGAAAGCCCCAAAAAGATTTGTCTCTGCTTCGCGTCAAATATGACGTAAGTTCTTCGTAACCGGGATATTTTTGTTCAGAAGACATTATATAGTAAAAATATATGTTTGGTGCGAGAAAAAGAACAAGAATCGTAAAAAAACGCGAACCCTTAAACACGTAGTTTTTTCTCCCTTAAATAACGCGTATACTGCTTCAGGGGCTAAAAAATCTTACAGGAAACGTGCCATGTGTTAATTTATCGAATTTGGTTATCTTACACTTCACATTCGAATTCGAATCCATTCTGTGGATCCACCAAAATTTAGCAAACGACCTGCAGATCGCCGCCGACCCATCATTGGGATTTACTTATAAATTCGAAAGTTTTTTAAAACTTCTAGCGATGATTTCTCAATAACTATTTGATTGAATTTGGTAAAAATTTTTTTATTTTAATAAAAAGCCTAAAATATCAGGAAAAAAACTTAAATCGGGTAAATTTTTTATTTTTTTGAACTTTAAACAAAGATTTCTCGACAACCAACTATCCAAATTCGATGAATTTTTTTTTATTTTAATTCTATGGTTTCATAGCATTAAAATAAAAAAATTTTCATCGAATTTGGATAGCTGATTGTCAAGAAATATTCAGTAAAAATTTGGCGCAGCTAGTGCTCCTCGGTCCGGTCCGGGTTCGGTCCGGTCCGGTCCGGTCCAGGATCGAACCAGACTCAAACTCTAAATTATACTAGTGCGAACTTCAGACCAGACTCAAACTTAATTATGAGTCTGGTCTGGGTCCGGTTCGAAGTTTGCAGACTAGTTCGAGTCCGAATATATTTATCTGGTTTGAAGTTCAGTTCGAAGTTTGCAAACAGTCCGGTCCGGTCTGGTAGGTTTTTTGTGGCTTAGCTCATCATGTGAGCAACAAATCTGCTCACATGATGAGCTAAGCCACAAAAAAACCTACCAGACCGGACCGGACTGTTTGCAAACTTCACCCGGGTAACCTGACGGTCCGATAAGAACTAAACATTAAATGACCACTATGTTCTGTATGCTATTTAGGTTCAAGTTTATTTTGTCTACCCGAATTGCCACCTTTTGCCACTCCAATGCCTTTATATGATGTGAAGTAGAAATCTCTAACCTTTCGGATATCTGCAGCTATAGTTTATAGAATTTAGCCAAAGCTTTAATCTAGCACCAGAAATGACGACTTCGGTGATAACTATGTGAGAAATCTGCTGATTTGAGTAATGATTTTTCGCCGATCCAGTTAATTAAGTGTTTTCGCACAGACTAAACACACTACAGCACTAAACATGTTGGGTAAGTATTAAATGAAATTTTAGTAATATTGAACATGCTGATATTTATAATGTTAAATTATCGCAGCAAAGTATCATATATAATGCATATGTCTTTTATATATGAGTGCAGGCAAGGGAAAACCTCAAACCGACAATTATTCCGAATAATAATTTACTAATCAGAATTAATTGTCGGTTCGAGGTTTTCCCTTGCCGTCACTCATATAGGGATTTAGGGTGGAAATTTGCGTGTAAACTTCTGATATGTGATTTTTGTTATATAAATAACGTCCAGAACTTTAATAGAGCGGCACACAGTCTAATAATGCTGGCAAAATTTTGTAATGCAGATCAATAATCATGTGCCACTGCATTAATTAATGTAAAAGTTATTACGTACGTACTGGGGTGGTAAATCAACTAAGTAAATCAAAACTATGTAAGCAAACTATGGAATTTGATACATTACA